TCATCCTGAAACTGACAGGATGACAGCGGCTCCGATCTCCAACCCGCTCGGCCATCTTGACAGCTGCGGTGCGGCTTCTCTCCCCCTCACCCGCTCCGCCATCCTGACAGCAGGCAGCGCTCCCTCCTGCGCCCCCCCCTGTAGACGGACGGACGAGGGAGCGCTGTCATCAGGTCGGTGAACAGGAGAGAAGCCGCCCCGAGGAGGCTTCATTTCCACTCGCCCCCACGCAATTTTCACTCGCAAATTGCGAGGGGGCGAGTGGAAATTTTGAGCCCTGGTGTATGTGTTTCGTTGCAGGAAAAAGGACCAAAAAAACAATAAGTAAAAATTATTATTTTTTTAAGATAACATGGTGTTGTATTATGTACGGTATTTGTGTAAGTTTGTAAAACTGTAATGACCTGTGCCACCCTTGCCTTGCCATTGGTGGTCACCATAATTTAAAAAAAAAAAAAGTATAGAAAAAACAGATATCTTTGCAATCAAAATGCTGTTCCAAAATGCTGTTTATTTTGGATAGAGTAGAGCAGAGGTTGGCAACCTTGGCAGTCCAGCTGTGGTTAAACTACAAATCCCATCCTTCCTGCCTCTGCCTCTTGGAGTCATACCTGTGGCTGTCAGAGTCTTGCAATGGCTCATGGGACTTGTAGATTCACAGTGGGAGTGCCAAGGTTACTTTCCCTAAAAGTGCCCATACACCTTATGACCATCGATGATTTCACCCGATTCTCGTACGAGAATCGAGCAGTGTATGGGCACCTTTAGAGTAGAGGATAGGTAAAACTCCAGGCCATCTGTGTCCCATTGAAGACTGGTAAGGCTACGGGAAAGCTCAAAGTTATTTGGTTACATTTTCTGTACTGTTGCTTTATATTTTAATAATATATAGCATATGTATAGTATTACATAATAACAGACATGCAAAGGTGGCAGTGCATTCTTCTAGTTAAAGATTTAAGGCAGTCATACATGAACATTTTTTGCCTGTACACTCACTCATGGGGATACATAATACCTGCCGAGTGGCTGTCATTGTTAGCCTGGTGTTTGTCTTGTGCAGCTGGCTGACAGCTGGCCTAAACCCTGCTGCCCGGAACCAAGCCTGCAAAGATATAAAACAAGATATCTGTATATAAAGGTTGGGTGAATCCAGGATATTCAGTTACCTAGAATGAACCACCTACACAGTCACTCACAAAACTCACTGGTTAATTTTGTAGATGGTAAATGCCAACAATTGCAAATGAAGGTCTTAAATGGAAGTGCAAGAGATATGCAGTAAATGTGCAATGGTATACTTAGCGCAGGGACTTGAAAACGGTCATGGTGGGGGTGGGGTGTTGGGGGATAACCATAACCATCAAGGTGGTAAAGGACTGGATCTCTGAATAATTTAAATAAAATTTAAATAAAATTGAAAACAGGTTTCTCTGCATTATTGAGCCTAAAATCAATGTGGAGAGATCAACTTAAAGAGGAACTTCACCCTCCCAAACAATCCCCCCCTCCTCACTTACCTTTGGTGCTCTTTTTAAAGCTGGATGTACACGCTTATGTTTTCTTTGTTCGGCCTGCAATATATAACAGGGGTGCCGAAAGTGACAGCGAATGCCTCCGCACATCAAATGCAAAATACCATGAATTCACTCGCACTCAGTTTGTAGCTAGCAGTCAATCTCCTTTATTGACTGAACATGATGTCACATACACAAAGCAACATTTCGGGACCAGGCAGTCCCTTCTTCAGGCAAACAACAGTGACTGTTTACTGTTACCCAGTAAAGTCCTAGATCTGACCTCACTACTGACCTCTGAACACTGTGCGTTACTTACTTCTGACCTCTGAACATTATGTGTTATTTACTCCTGACCTCTGTACTCTGTGTGTTACTTACTAGCGACCGCTGCGCTCTGTGGGTTACTTGCTACTAACATTTCAACACTGTGTTACTTATAACTAACCTCTGAACTCTGTGCGTTACTTACTTCTCAAATCTGCACTCTGTGCGTTACTTACTACTGACCTCTGCACACTGTGCGTTACTTCACTCTGAGCTCTGTGTGTTACTCACTTCTGATCTTTGCACTCTGTGCGTTACTTACTATTGACCTCTGAACATTGTGCATTACTTCTGACCTCTGCAATCTGTGCATTAAGTCATTCTGTTCTCTGCACTCTGTGCGTTACTTCTTTCTGACCTCTGTACTTTACTTACTACTGATTTCTGCACTATACCTTGCATATAGACCCAAACTTTAGGTCTAAAAGCGTTGTTCCTCCTGAGGCCCCATTCACATTGAGCGATTCGCATTTGTCGCACGATTTGCATTTTGCGCGATATCGTGCAAATGCTTGCATTGAGCAACCTAGAATCACGGCAAAATCCGCTCCAAAAAGGGTCCTGTTGTAGCGATGCATTGGAGAGCGATATCGCTTGGTAAATAGCCGCGATATCGCCGGAAATTACCGCGCGATAAATCGCTCAGTGTGAACGGGGCCTTATAGTACAGACGTAAAACGTGTAGGGTGGAGCTAGGAGAGTTACAAACAAGCACAGGTCATGGATCATACAGTAGATGCAGGATTTTTTTGAATGCTATTGTTTCATGGATTTTATTATATCGATCCTTCCACTTTGGGGTAATCAACACATACAGCCGTTCAGCTCACCTGGTTGATCCAGCAGACGAGAATGAGCACAAAAGGAAATTGGGAGTTCTTTTATCGGTGGATTGATTGAAGGCTTTCTTCACCCTGACTATATGGAGGAACTACGCTTTAGACCTAAAGTTTGGGTCTATATGCAAGATTAGCTGCACTTCAGAGGGTCTTCCTAGGTCAGGGGTAGGCAACCTGGGCTCTCCAGCTGTGCTGAAACTACAAACCCCATCATGCTTCTGCCTCTGGGAGTCATGCCTGTGGCTTGCAATGCCTTATGGGATTTGTAGTTTCAGCACAGCTGGAGAGCCGAGGTTGCCTACCCCTGTCCTAGCTGGAGGTCACTGGAAGTTTTGGCACAGGGGAAGAGTCACTGTTGTAATATCATATTGGGGTGAAGAATTCTGGGCTGTTTTTTAGTGTTTAGAAACACATTGGGTGGATATTGGCAGGACTGCTTATTGCATCACACTTTATGATTGCAAGCACTTTATTCACTGTTTTACCATTGTGTGTGATTTTAGGTGCATTTATCGATTGATTTATTTGTATATGTATTACATTTTCACGTTGGCAACATTCACAGCGTATATAACTAGAGCATGCACACCTACCCAGGAGTAGTGTGGAAGGGGGTGGCATGCCATAGATGACATTACAGTTCAATTATTTTCTTCTGTAGGATTTGCCTTTAAAATAAAAGACTTTCTATGCCCCCAAGGGCATCATGATCCCTATTTGTATGCTGTATATTTATCACATAGCTTCTGCTAACAGGAAGAATGTGCTGGTTAATAAGGGAGTGTGTAAAGTAATTTAATTGACTTCTTCTGTCATCAGGAACTTAAAATAACTTATACAATGCAGCTATTCCCATTATCTATCTGTTGGGAAATTATTGGTAGTTTGGGTAATTCTAATCATTACAAGGAAGAACCTGGGAAGTGAAGGACTATGTTAAGCCAAGCATGCTAGATAAAACCTTCTAGTGATTGTTCCATTTTCTCTGCAGAAAAGGGAACATTTCTTTATGGCATACACGCTAAATCTATACACATGGGGTTCAGGGGGACAATCACAATGGGTCATTGTGGCACAAGCTGCCACATAGACTGGGAGAGGTCTGCTGTGTTTGTCTGAGGTTATGCATCTTCTTTCTAGAATGATGTCCTGTAGATGTGCACATCGCTGTTTTTATTTACCCGATTCTCGCTCCCTTGGCGCTCTCCTTGTCTCGCCTAAACTCCAGCTTGTGGACTGTCCTTTGGCGTCCTCACATATATTTTAGGGCTGTGGGTCCTGCATTGTACGTGATGACGTTAGCGGACCTATAAGAGAGGGGATCAGATAAGGAAAGGTCCTTTTCCCAGGTATCCTAGACCTAAACAAGCAGTTAACCCTTGAAGTGATGGGGTAGCACCACTAAGGAATCCCAAAAGCTTGCATCTTTAATAACTTAAAATAGAAGTGTAGCTAAAAAAACAACAAATTGCCGATCTGCAGGTTTTCTATGACAGAAGAGACTGTGTAAGTCAATGTGCCATTAAAGCTTTTTGTTCCCTGCCAGCAGTTTTTTTTTTCTGCACAGGCTTGGCATGCTGAGATGAAGTAACTCTTGTAATCATGCAGGGGAGTTATGTCATTGGGGTCCAGCCAACCAAGTGGCTGTAAACTTGAAACCCAGAAGACCGGGGCAAAGATGGACAGTGCCAGCGACTAAGGAGCGCAGCACTGGAGGGGATTGCTTTGACTGGTAATCCCCCCCCCCCCCTTTTTTTAAAAAAAAACCTGCTTTACTTCCACTTTAAGTTAGCCAATAAGGGGTATCACTTTAACTCCAACCTTTCCTTATGTTCCTGTTATATGAAACCTAACCTCCATCACCTGATCCATAGACTGGCTTTGTCACTTGCCACTTAACTGCCTGTAATGTAGTTAAACTCTCTTTAACATAGCTGAGAATCTAGCACCACAACTGGCAATATGTACGATACCTGAGCCTGTGATCTCCAACCCCCACCCTGTTCAAATATGTCACTTATTTATATGCACAATATCCCAAGCTCTTCTCACTAACTCCTCATTTGTAATTCCTTTAAATAGATATAGGTTGAAAAGCCCTTTAGCTCTGCAGGGAAGCAAATTTAGCAAGAAAATGATAATGGAACACAGAATGCAACTTTGTACTGTATAGCCTTTGTCTATCATTGCACACTAGGTGGCAGCAGCACCCTCAGAAAGTCTCCCATCAGTGACATAGAAGGGGTCAGAGCTCTTCTACCACCCCCTACACTCCCTCCCCTTTCCAGGCGGGCTTATAAGGGGATCCCAATGGAAGTGTTAATGCTTTAAACTTTGCTGCCAGTACAGGACAAGGCAAGAGCTACAGGGAAGACATCCTGCCTGTCCACATACCATGCCTTCCCAGTTTTTGTTTTAAATAAGCTGAGTTTTACCTCCCAACTGAGAAAGAAGACAGAGGGGAAAAAAAGAACTTTCTAAATATTTTTCAAAACTTTTTTGCACCTGTCAAAAAAAGCAAAAAATGAATCTTAGAAGTCTTTCCATTTTTGTTGCATCCGAGTTCCTCCTTGTAGTGCTGCATCTACCAGACTCCTTGAATCACAGAACAACTGGACCCAGGGTAAGTCATATCACCCTTCTACCCCTCGCTATACATTACTCTCAATCCGGTCTCTTCCCTTCCCTGAGAAGCACTTTGATTTCTAAACATAGCCAATGCATTCTGCTGCTTGTCTTTGCTCCAATCATGTTGGCTAAGCAGAATTATTTGGAACACACTTCAAAGGGAAGGGAAAAGTAGAAACCATGGAATTATTGCCGCTTAAGAGAAGAAAAATATTTTCAGAAATGAAGCTGCCTCGCTTCCACGCGTCTTAGATTCTTTTGTGGTTTGTTTGTAATTATATGTGTGGATAGAGAAAGAAAATATTGATCTGTTATTACATCATAGGAATAACATAACAAACATGAAATCAAGTTTCCTCTAGGAATTTCTTCTGTTTTTATTTTATTTTATTAGAAAATAAATATGCAGCTTTTCTTTTAAAAAGGTACCATTTACACCTGGGCGTTTCAAAGCGCACTTCAACAATCAGCGTGAAGAATCTGATTATTTTAAATGTTGTCTGTTCGCATCTCTGTGTTGTGTCACCTGTCATTTTCAGACTGAATCACGAAAAAGTACATGAGCTTCTTTTAGGACAGAATCGTGCGTTTTTGGTCCTATAGATTTCTATGGGAGCGCTTAAAATGCGTGTTTATGTGTGCTTTTCAGGAGTGTCCATTTTTCCAAAATCTATGGGACCAAAAATGCATTATTCTGCTCATGTATTACAAGTCGCATGAACAAACGGGCAAAAAAACAACCTGTACATCGCCTGGCTGCGCATACGCTGAGGTGTGAATGAGAGCTGTCCCTTATAGACTTTAAACAATATTCGATTGGCTGAACAAAAATATAGTAGGTGAAATTCCTTACCAAATCCTGGAAGCTTTTATTGCATTTTAACAGTGGAATATTTTGTGTATGATTCAAAGCAGTTTTTTTGCTGTGATACATTTGATAACATCATTTTACTGCACTATATTACATAACAGTGCTAGAAGATAAAGAAATATTGATCCTAACCTATCACAATAACTTTTACCTTCTGTATGTGATAGTCATCACACAATATGATGTATACCTTTGAGTCAGGGCTGGACAAATCCGGGGGGCCATGTAGGCAATGCGCCTTAAATATTACAGCTGGTGCCTAACTTTTAAAGTTTTCTCTAGTTGTTGTCAATGGAGCTGGCTCCTAAAATAAAAAAAATCATACTTACTCCTGGATTGGACAGACTGGCTCCTGAATTCCATTTTAACTTGTCCACCCCTGCTTTAAGTAAACCTGCCTAAAACAAAAAAAAAAACAAAACCAGCTTTTAGTTAGATTTTGCACACACATATATTCCGTTATGCCGATTTGGTACATTCCAAATAAACAGGGTTGTACATAATCGGAAACAAATGGGAAACATATGCAAGTTTCCAATCCATAAGACTAGCGTTGAATGTTAGTTACTGGTTGGGATGTTTCTGTTCACTTTTATCCTTCACGCTTTCATATGCGCATACATGACAAAACTGTTAAACTAAAAATTCCAAGTGTTTTTGGGTATTGCAAGCCTAGGTTTAACCACTTGTTGCTGGAACTGGTAGTCTGTTTAAAAGAACAGCTTGTGGAAAGAAACATTTGAGCTGTGGTTAGAACTTGCCAGCGGCCTCAATGATCATGATGAAACCAGATTATTTTCAGTCCTGACAGTGCATGGCAGACATGACCACAGAGAGCTGTTGTCATGAATGTTACATTATTTTGACATTCACAGAGTTTGGGTAGGGTATTCTTACTAAAGCTTGCTGCAGTCATTTGCTAGTAAACCCTTCACCCAGTGAAAATGTACTTCTTGACAGATGGCGGGATACTCCTATATGATCTGTTTTCTTTATAATAGAACACAATATAGTAACAGTATAGTAATATAGTAACTTCAAAACAAATAATAATAATACTCAACCCAGACAGTGCTGCTGATCAATTATCAAGTAGTGGAAGCCCATAAATATCCTGACGCTTACAAAAACCTGTCAAAATGAACGTCAGGGATCTGCAGGGTAGCTAAAATCACCCGCTGATTCATCTTTTATGTTTTTTTTCTTACTTAATATTCGAATGAGATATGTTTTCTTCTGAACCTTGTTATTGCCCTGGCCAGTTTACTTCCTGCCCAAATAGAAAAACGTCTTCGAAGAGTAATAAAATGAGACATTTCTTTGCCTGCTACAACTTACAACATTAATTTTAAATGATACAGAACATTCCTTTCACTGATCTCCCTAAAAATCCCCAGACGTGGGAGCTTCTAACAGTTCCTTCAGCAACAATCAGCCTAGGAAATAATCCTTTGTGTCATCCAACATCTGCATCCACTGGATAGTGCATGCCAGGTGAGTTCCCATAGAGCCTGCAGCTTATCTCTGCTTGGTCAGCAAAGATCAAAGCCATCACCTGAAGATTTTCAAACCTCTCCGACTGATGACTTGACAGCCGGCACTTGTCTGCTATGAATGTTGTTTTGTCCATACACTGCCATATTGTCCTATTAAATGACAGTTTGACTGTGGATTAGTGTCAAATCAGATCACACATTTATTAGACTATGATGGACTGGTTTTGCCATTTCCTAGTTAATCAATTGTAAAGAATGTTGGCTACGGATGCTGTTAATGTTATTTATGGCATCAGATGATGTTTTTTTTTGTCATGATGATACATTCACATCCAAAGTTAATCTTTGGACAGTTTTAGAGGGAAATACAGTGACATGGTCAGGTAAAAAAAATTAGACATCTGTGCTTACAGCTGGCCATCGACGAGCAGATGTCTCACCAAGGTTAATGGAAGGCGGGGTATGCGCTTGTCTTTATTTGCATCACCAGGACTCAAAACCTGCTACAGCCTTCTCCCCAGCTTGTTTGATATGTGGAGGTAGCACTCCTGCTGAAAGCTTATTTTAGTTTTTTAATTTGAAAAGGCAACAAGTGGCATGTCCAATGTAGTAGAAAATCTGTGTGTGTCACAATATGGGATTTACATTAACTAGACCTTAAAAGGGCCCAGTTGCCCAGTTATTGCACGTGATGCTAAGTCACTTTTATCCAGCTACATACGGTCTCTTAGGTAGTCACTTTTTAATGAAAAGGTACAGCAAGTGCAGGGCACAAGATGTACTTGACTTTCCAGACTAGTTGCCTGGTCAGCCTGTTTTGGTATTGCCCTATGTGAGTTCTTATAGCAGTAAATAGATGGTGCTATTGCCATCTAGATGCTTATGAACACTCTAAGGAGTATGGCTGAAGTAAGACTTTAAAATGTCATTAGCAATCAGTGTTTCGGTCAAACCAAATCACTTCAACTGTAAAGAAATTGTATGTATGCACTTTGTTACAGAGATCATAGGCATCCTTTTTAGGTTGGTTGTTGATGGCTTTTGAACATCTTTCTTCAAACCCATTGCAGTGCTGCCAGTCCTTGTTAAGTTATTGGCCAGCTTTAGTTGCAATGGATTATTAGGTCATTAACAAAAAAAAAATAAGTTTTTGAGACCTTTCCTTACTTTATACAGTTTAAGGTGTTAAAGTGGACCTATCGATAACTTTATACGTTTGTGTAAATTAATTCCTGACATGTCATAATGTACAACACTGGTACCCTTTTTCAGGAAAACTTTACAAAGTTGTCCCTGAGCACCAGTCATTGACTTTGCCTAGGCTGAGAGGAAGCCCTCAGTCTGCTGCAGGCAAGAGGAAACATTTCCTCAGTCTATACTTCTACAGTAATCAGACAGCAGCATTGTAACTTTGAAACAGGTGAGAGGCTACAGCAGGGGCTGATTTTGTGTCAGGCATTTCCAAATACAGCCAAAAACTGAACAGGCATCGGATTTAACAGATTGTGTCATCTCTGAACCAACATCTCCGTCCATAAAATAGATGCTGAATCTGGATGATGCCTGAACAAAGAGGTGATGCACTCAAAATGCAAACATATATCTTGTGTTACATCCTCTTTAGATTGTAAATGTATACTGTATATGTATAATGTACATTGTTCTGTCCAGTGCTGGAGCTATTTTACAAATGCACATTAGATGGGAGTAGGAATACCAAGTTTATTATGGATGTTTTTTGACACCGTGCTTCATGATCCACATGTGGATCTCATCTTGATGTTGTTTGGTATTACTCAGCAGGTGGTCCTTACGTCAGTGAATACATTATACACTTCCATAAGCATGAGACCAGGCAGAAGATTTCTCGTTCATATCAAAACTTGCTTAAACAATTTATCTGCTCATTTTTTAAAGTTAGTGTGGCTCACAGCCACCTAAAAAAGGTTTGAAGGAAGATCTGTTGCAGAATTTATTGTTTTTGGAACAGCTTTACAGGAAAGACAATCAGGAGTTGAAGGTTGCTTATGTTATTTATAACTTAAATAGAAATGCTTGAAACTATGAATTATGGTAGGTATATATATATATGCGTGCGCCCGCAAAAAACGCCCATAGGCGATGATTAAAACACTTTTACTGCTCATTAGTTTAGTGTTATTAGTGATTAATGTCTCTAAAATTATTGCTCACACTCCGACGATTGCGGCGATATGTAACATGTGCAGCACAATAGGCGCACCAGACGCATATCTGCGTGTGCATGTGGGGGGCGGGGACTTACATTTTTTTTTTTTTTTTTATGCTTCTTTTTTTTTAGGATTCTTAAATTTTTTACATAGTTACATAGTGTTTGAGGTTGAATAAAGACACATGTCCATCAAGTCCAACCTATTTTGTGTGGGTGTGTGGGTGTATAGGTCCTTGAGGCATCTCATTCTTAACAGTACCTGTACCCCTGTATATTACGGTCTCTCAGGAAATCATCCAAAAGCTTCTTGAATGTTTCCACACTATTTGCTGAAATCACTGCTTGTGGCAACGAGTTCCAGACCCTAACCACTCGAACTGAGAAGAACCCCCTTCGCCCCTTGTGTTTGAACTTTTTTTCTACCAGTTTTAGGTGGT